TTGCAAAATTGGACCAAATCATTTTTATAAAATACTAGGCCATATTTAATGCACAATTGACAAAATGGTTGGGTGTAAAATATTTTGATCCACCTCTCGTGAAAAAGACAAATTTCCGCCAATTTAGTTGGAAGCGGGTCAAATTTGAACTGCAGCTGCCTCATAGTTTGCTATTTATTTTTTCCAAAAATAATTTCTAATTACATAAGGACCTATTTAATCATAAATACATGGTTTGGTGGCGATACGTCGAGGTTTGGGCGGTGGCCGAGGGCCCCAACTCTAGAGCGCGTAAACTCGCATGCCTGTCGCATGGTCACCGCGTGACCGTAATGTTGCCATGTGTTCTGGGCGGCCTAGGCATGTCTAGTGGGTTGGGCACTCCCCAGGTTGGTGCTAGGAAGAAAATTACAACATAAGATTCTCACGAGGAGACCGATCGATGCTCAAACATGAATTAGTAGCCAAGTGTTTGATTAGTGGTACGGGAAATGCACATGGCCAATGGGCGTGAGTTTTGGCTGAGGATGATCATCTACTAAGGAGAATGTCTTCACAAATTTTTAGCTCAAAAGGAGGATCCTAGGTGGTACTTGCTTTGCAAAGTACCACGCTGGACAAAAATATGAATGTTGAAGCTGGGCTCAAAATAATGAATGGAGTGAGCTGAAATTTTGTGGAGGATGGTTATTTGGGCATAGGAAAGCATTATAGAAAATTGATACCATTTGGACATGCCAAAGTAGTACTTCCTTCACAATGCTCTTCTATGGACAGAAACTTGGAAAAACTAGTGAGAGAGATTGGATGAATGAAATGAGATCAAAATTGGTGTAGGTAAGTTACTTAGGTATGGTCATGCGCTGGTAAATTTTCAGATCATTGGGGTAAGCCTAGCTAGTACTTACTTCACAAAGCTTCTCTCGAGGTAGAAACTTTGGAAATTTCTCGAGAAAGATTTACTAGGAAAATTTAGCTGAATATTATCATGTGGCAATGATTTGGGTATGGAAGAGTTCCCGAAAAGTTTGAGGGTAATAGGAGGGGTCTATATAACACTTGCTTTGCAACGTGCCAATTTGGCCATAAAATATAAATTGAACCTGGGCTCACATAGATGATTTGACTGAGCTGCAATTTGGAGGAGGTTGATAATTTGGGCATATGAAGGAACTGTATAAATTTCATGTCATTTAGAGATATAAAACGGTACTTCCTTCACAATGCTTCTAGGTGGGCAAAAACTTTGGAAATTTGCCGAGGAAGATTTGCTAGGCAAATGGAGTTGAATTTTGTCATGCGGTAATAATTTGGATAGGAAAGAGTGCCCAAAAATTCCGAGGGCAATCAAGAATATATAAATAGCACTTCCTTCATAAAGTGTTTTTGTGAACAGAATAGGAAAATGAATATTGTTGAATTAGTTTTGAACTTGGCAAGGAAGGATTTTTACATATTTGATGAAGATATGCCCCAAAGAATTTATGAGATTTTTTGGGAATTTTGGGAATGATAGAAATATAGGTTGCTTCACAACCTAGGGCAAAAACTGCCACATGGACATGACACATAGGCAAAACTGATGAGATGGCGCCTAGTCATCACAACCCACCACAATCTACAAGGCTATGACCATCTATATTGGTCATTAACAACTAGAAATAAGGCAGCGGACTAGCACTGTTTGCTTTGTGACCATTTCGTGTAAGGAAATTACGACCTTTCTGACCAAAATGGTCGCAATGGTTTAGGGTTTGGAGCCCCCTGAACAGCTTTTGACCAATTGGTCTAAAATGGTCATAAATTTATGACCAATTCTTCGAGGGTCACTGACAGAAGGTCATAAGTTGACATATTTCTTGTAGTGAATGGCCAGAAGGATCTATATAAAGAGGGTCTGAAACCGTCTGGTCCAGGGCTGGCTTGGGGGTTCATGGTGAAAAAAGCGAGCTTGATTTCCTCTTCGGAGAAGGGCTCATCTACGACGTGGAGTCCGGGCACCAGTTGTGGGTATACAGAATTCAGAACAAAAGCCCAAGTTGTTGGAGCTGGAGTGCCAATTAGCGAGACGAAGAAGTCACGTAGGATTTTAGCTTTTTGCTGGTGAGCAGAGTATTCAGAGCCGGCCCTAGTGAGGGTGAAGATTTTATTTTTCCGTAAACGTTGAGAGGCAGACATGTGAAAGAACTTAGTGTTCTCACCATCGTTGATGGCGCGCGAAACCTTAGCATGCCAACGCCAGTACGACATTTTCTCCTGAATGGTGCACTTGAGAACGGAGACAATGATTTTGCGCGCGAGAGATTCTGGTGTAGATAGAGGTCTGTTTTCCTCCATGAGGTCTAAGGCAGTGATTGCAACATGGCAGCGAGCTTCGCGGAGGGGGGCAGGAATGCGCAAACGTGCCCACTTTTTGAGACGGGTACGGGATTTTTTTGAGCGCGGAGACAAGGGAAGCGGCTGCGTTGGATGGCGAGGAGGGCTGTGAGGCCCAAATTTGGCTGATGATGTCGCTACAGGGCCGAAAGTTGGCCCAGCCAGGCTCAAATTTGAAAAAATTAGATCGTGGGATGGTGGTGGTGATGTGGATGAGGAGTGGGACGTGATCGGACATGAAGCGTGTGCGAGAGGATTGTGAGGTGTTAGGGAAGGCGTCCGCCCATGCAAGGTTAAAGAAAACACGATCTAGCCGTTCTAGGGTGGGGGTGGCTCGATTGTTCGACCAGGTGAACCTGCAATCAAGTAGGGGCAGTTCGATGAGAGCTATATCATCTAAGGTTTGGTTAAAAGCATTGGCTTCGGAGTGATGGAACGCAGAGTTTTTTTTATCATAGGGGAAGCGGATGAAGTTGAAGTCACGAGCGATAATCCAGGGGATGTCATCGGGTTGTGAGATGGATGAGAGCTCGTTTAAAAAGGCTTGCTTGAGTGATCGTGATGATGGAGCGTAGATGTTTGTGATGGCAATGTGTTGGGTGCACGCAGTTGTTTGTAGGATTAGGGTAGAGGAGAAGGTTAGATGTGAGTAAGAGACGACTTGAAAAAAGGCAGAGTTGATGGCAGAGATAGTGCCACCAGCGGACTCGACAGCTGGTAGCGAGAAAGCTTGATCAAGTGTTCGTGGCAAAAAGGATTTTAGTTTAGAGTCGGGGAGAGTGTCGAGTTTTGATTCTTGCAAGAGGGTTATGTGCGGCTTAGTCATCACTAGTTCGGAGAGAACATCGGAGCATTTATCGTTATCGCCAAGACCACGTACGTTCTAGGAGCAAATTAAGAAGGCATCATTACACAGCTGGATATAGGCAGTGGTTGTGTCTACTTTGTATTTAGGGATGGCGTGTTTAGATACAACTTTGTTGACAACAAGACAATGCTTGTGAAGTGGCTGCCTCTCGGATGGAGAGCCACATGCGTGTGGCTCCGCCCCGACATTAAGTTAGCGCTCGAGCTATCAAAATATGATGCATAACAATTAACCCTTAAGCCAAAATGACAAAACGTAATTTATTAACTTTGATTTGTTTTGTTTAGAAATATTGGAATGAAAAGTGGTGTTCTAGTTCGCGGCCATTTATTTGTAAATAATTCATACTTTCTTGTTGAAGGGCTTGAACTTAGGTATGAAGGAAATGAATTGGTGATTGCATCTTTAAGTATTATGTAACTTTGTAATTTACTACCAAACATGTGGATGTAATGCTCTTTAATTTATTACTCCCTCCAGTGCATCTTGTGTTTGTTCTCATCACCATTCCATCCCACCAAAAACGCGCTATCAAATTGGTGATTTTCTTACATAAGCGATTTGATAAATGGAAGTAGCACATCAAATAATGACCAACTTTGCTCCAAAACTTTTCTACGCTCGACATACACGACTGACGATGTCCTGAACTAGGAGTACTCACCGCGTCGTCTCCCGACCCGTGGGTCAGACCGAGGACCCCCATGGCGGTTAACTAATGGGCCACTTCGGATAGCTCATGACATATACGAGGAAGATTTCACAAGACTTGGTGATCAAGACAAGGACTCCTCTCCACCGACGTAGCCGACTAGGACACTTGTTATCCGAGGCCTCCGATACATTATATAAGCCGATGCTAGGCTAGTCGATAGATCATTATGACAATCATCATACCCCTAGGGTTTAGACCACAACTTACGTTCTCGAGGTAGATCAACTCTGTACTCGTCACCATCAATATTAACAAGAGCGGGACGTAGGGTTTTACCTCCATCAAGAGGGCCCGAACCTGGGTAAACATCGACTCTCTTCTTCTTGTTACCCTTGATTCAAGATCCACAGCTCGGACCCCCTACCTCGAGGCCTGCCGGTTTTGACACCGACACCAACCACATGTACGAAGTTTAAATTTAGCATTTTTGACGACCCGTTTCCTATCTTAAATTTCATTTTCATACTTTTTTTGTGCTTGTTTTTCTTCTCCCATATCATTGTCTAGTTGCATACTTCAGAATACTAAAATTGCACTTCCTTCTCAATTGTGCAACTTGAGTTGTACAAATGTGCAATTGATTGCTAGAAACTTTCACTCGACTGAATAGCCAAGTTAGACACTTAGATACAACAGCATGCACAAAATAGTCCCTAGACCAGATAAAACACCCATTACTGCAAACAGATTATCAGTGGCAGACCTAAAATGATTATCAGTGGTGGGTTGGGAGCCCGCAACTGGTAACATGCCACTGATAATCAGTTACCTGTTATATTGAAGTTATCAGTGGTGGATTGGAAGCAACCCCAATAGCCCGAGCGCCTCTCCTTCTCATGAGCGGATCTGCCACTACCCTCGCCCCATCGTTGCCCCACCACCGCTCGCCGCTGCGGATCCGCCGGCTCTTCCTCCTTTCCTCTCTGGCCTCCGCCGCCACCGGCCCTCTCCGCCCTCCCCCGGTCTTTTTCGCCCTCTGTCGCCCTGTTCTTCTTCCCCTCCCCATCCTCTCATAATCTTCTCCGGCGCGTGCACTCGCGGATGCAGGTGAATGGCTCGGGCAGGACACATGGCTCATGGCGGCGGCGTCTCTCCTCGGGAGGAGCTCGGGCGTTGAGGTCGAGGTGTGCGCTGCCCCTAGGACGGAGTCCACCGACCTGTGCTGGTCATGGTCCACCACCACCATGCCTTCAATCCGACCTCCACCACTCCAGCAAGCAGGAGCATCGCAATTGCTGCGGTCTTCTCAATTTAACTATTGAAATATTAGTTTCTTGATCCTTTGTGAGATCATGTTTTGTTTGCATCTGATAATTAGGATGACCTCCTTTCTTTCAGGTTTGTATGCTAAGATGAACTTGAGTGACGAGGTTGATTTGTTTGTATGCTAAGATGAACTTGAGTGACGAGGTTGATTTGGAAGATCATGTCTCCAGATAGGATAAAATTAGTGCTGCTAATGTGAGTTGATTTGGAAGATTGTCTCCAAATAGGATAAAATCAATGCTGATGATGTGAGTGCCTTTTCATTATCCCGAACATTCTTTTTCACTTGTACAACTTTAGCATAGGAAATTTCATTGCCTCAGCTTAATTAGAAAATGATAATGATTTCTAAATCATTTACTCTTAAAATCTTATCATAGTAAATGCGGAAAACGAATGAGATCAGAAATATAGGCGGACGACTTGACCATAAGGTCGGATGTTTTCGTGAGCAGTAAGCAGTGGATCTGCCATTTTTGGGGGAAAGCTGATGGCCCTTTTGTCATGTTAATTCTTTTGACGGGTGACATCCTGCTAACCACACATTTGTTTCATATATATTGACACCTATAATAGAAGTAGCAATGCCTGATTATGAGATGTTATGTAATTGCTTGTGTAAATTAGGCACCCTGATACGTCTCCAACGTATCTATAATTTTTGATTGCTCCATGCTATATTATCTACTGTTTTGGACATTATTGGGCTTTATTTTCCACTTTTATATTATTTTTGGGACTAACCTATTAACCGGAGGCTCAACCCAGAATTGTTGTTTTTTTGCCTATTTTAGGGTTTCGAAGAAAAGGAATATTAAACGGAGTCCAAACGGAATGAAACCTTCGGGAACGTAATTTTCTGACCGAACATGATCCAGGAGACTTGGACCCTACGTCAAGAAACAAAGGAGGAGGCCACGAGGTAGGCGGCGCGCCTACCCCCCCCCCCCCCAAGCGTGCCCTCCACCCTCGTGGGCCCCCTGTTGCTCCACCGACGTACTCCTTCCTTCTATATATACCTACGTACCCCCAAACGATCAGATACAGAGCCAAAACCCTAATTTCCACCGCCGTAACTTCCTGTATCCACGAGATCCCATCTTGGGGCTTGTTCCGGAGCTCCGCCGGAGGGGGTATCCATCACAGAGGGCTTCTACATCAACACCATAGCCTCTCCGATGAAGTGTGAGTAGTTTACCTCAGACCTCCGGGTCCATAGTTATTAGCTAGATGGCTTCTTCTCTCTTTTTGGATCTCAATACAATGTTCTCCCCCTCTCTTGTGGAGATCTATTGGATGTAATCTTCTTTCTGCGGTGTGTTTGTTGAGACCGATGAATTGCGGGTTTATGATCAAGATTACCTATGAACAATATTTGAATCTTCTCTGAATTCTTCTATGTATGATTGGTTATCTTTGCAAGTCTCTTCAAATTATCAGTTTGGTTTGGCCTACTAGATTGGTCTTTCTTGCAATGGGAGAAGTGCCTAGCTTTGGGTTCAATCTTGCGGTGTCCTTTCCCAGTGACATTAGGGGCAGCAAGGCACGTATTGTATTGTTGCCATTGAGGATAACAAGATGGTTTTTTTATCATATTGCATGAATTTATCCCTCTACATCATGTCATCTTGCTTAAGGCGTTACTCTGTTTTCATTAACTTAATACTCTAGATGCATGCTGGATAGCGGTCGATGAGTGGAGTAATAGTAGTAGATGCAGGCAGGAGTCGGTCTACTTGTCTCGGACGTGATGCCTATATACATGATCATACCTAGATATTCTCATAACTATGCTCAATTCTGTCAATTGCTCAACATTAATTCGTTCACCCACCGTAAAATACTTATGCTCTTGAGAGAAGCCACTAGTGAAACCTATGGCCCCCGGGTCTATCTTCATCATATTAATCTTCCAATACTTAGTTATTTCCTTTGTTTTTACTTTGCTTTTATTTTACTTTGCATCTTTATCATAAAAATACCAAAATTATTATCTTATCATATCTACCAGATCTCACTCTCGTAAGTGACCGTGAAGGGATTGACAACCCCTTATCGTGTTGGTTGCGAGGAGTTATTTGCTTTGTGCAGGTACTAGGGGACACGCGCGCAACCTTCTACTGGATTGATACCTTGGTTCTAAAAAACTGAGGGAAATACTTACGCTACTTTGCTGCATCATCCTTTCCTCTTCGGGGAAATCCAATGCAGTGCTCAAGAGGTAGCACACCCCTTTTGTGCCTCCTCCTGTGTGTTATTCACTATGACATTCATTTTCATTCTGCTACTATTTGACAGGAAGTTCGCATGCCTGTTGTCCGCAAAACTCGGTAATGTTATCCTGCCCAAGGACTTCGAGAAGGGTTACCGAACCAACGTCAAGAAGCCTTAGACAGACTTCGACTTCTACAAATGAGGCAACAAACTATTAAAGAGGATGCTTTATTTCCTAAGGGCAACAATTATTAACACTAGAGTTGAATTTGTTGACGGTCGCGTCCGACAGTAATATCCCTGTATCTTGGTGCTCCTGTAGTTTGCACTCTCATTAGTGTTGTTAAGCTACTTGCTTGCACAAAGTGTCATGGGAGTTGCTTCCCATCGAGAGAGAAGAGTTCAAAAAGGGATAGAGCAAAGAAGAAGGACAAGGAGAGGGCAGTGGTGTCGTGTGGAGACTGTGGCCGGTGAGGCATAACTGGAAGTTTCTCTAATGGTCGACAACAAGGTACCCCACTGCTCTGAATATTTACATGGTTAATGTGAGTTGAATCATCAAAGGTCTGCGCATTAGTAATGGTTGAAAAATTCATCGCATAAGAGAAAACTGAATGGTCCGTCAGTTCTTTAATAATACATATTACAGAATGTACCTTTCTGTTTGATGGTAGGATCACTGCACAATAGGCTTTGGAGCAGGCTCTGATTCATAGAGAACTCCCCAACAACCTCATCTTTTGAGGATGTTAGATGGATACTGAATCCAGTAAGCCTCCAATAGATAAAGGAAGTCAAATTTTCTGTTGGTAATTTGCATGACAGGGTTCTAGCAAATTTATGATTGTGCCTACAACAGACTACTTCTGCCTGAAGATTTGAGGCATGACTCAAATTTCGTTAGAAATGAACAATTGAGATCTCAGTTTTTGTCATGCATATTCGTACGAATTTCTTATTCAATGGATCAAAAAAATATTCTATAATTAGATCTTGGTATGTTTTCAGATTTTTCAGAGAAGAAAGAACTCTAGAGGTGTGCATGTTTGTCATATTTTTATGGAGAATCAAGTCTGCAGAATACCTACTGATTTGAGGAATTTGGATGTTACCCATGGTCATACACGGATGTAGTTTATGAGAAACTATCTTATGTTGATGGTGTGTAAGCATATCAGCCTCCCGGTTGCCTATTTCATTCCTCACGGGACCATTATGCTGGGCTAATTGAGGTATATCAAAATTCTATATTGAACCTTCGTTATATAGAAAGCTAGCCAAGCAACATCAGAACGACCGTCCTCAGCTAGCTTTATATTTGGTTGTGCATCACTAAGATGATAAGATTACAGATTTACAATACTAATTTCCATAGATTTATAATTGTTTATGCTTGCTGTTTATGGACGAAATTCAGGATAGAAACCTTTTTTGGCGAATCAGGATAAACACATTACAGGCATACGGTCTTGTGTGAGGATAATATGTAGCATTGTCCATCTAATCTTCCTCACTACACTTGATGTGGCTTATTGCTAGGCTGAAGGGCTTAAAGAAACGAATTGATTAAGAGGTGTAGCATGTCTTGCGTTTTATTACCTGATCCTTATTTTAGACCAATATTTATAGCTGGCTACTTGCTAACTTTGCACATATATACATGCTAAATTGTATAGCATCTTATATTCCGATGAGAGGGATAATGAAAATATATAGAGGAATATAAATCTGCATACATTATTAGCATCTTACAATTTTATATTTGGGCTCATGGCCACTTCAATATCTTTTTTTGGTGATCAGCAATACTCCTTTCTCGATGCAATGGGATATATATGTTTTTTCCCATGGTTGCTATTTTAGTAAAAAAATATGCAAATTTGTATTCATTCTGTTCTCTAAGGAGTATACTAGGACACTCATTTGAATAGACGTACTATGCACGTGGAGCTCTCAGAAAAGCTATATGAGCAAGTATATCATAATATTGGTATGTGGATCACATATAGGATTTGGAATGTACATCTCAAATCTTTAAATGATTTTAACTACTACCAATACCGGTATGGTTGCATTATTGATCACAGTGAAAATGGATTGCTATTGTTGATTCGACTTGAGTCTTTGCATCTAAACTCATGTAAGTGATTTGCCTCTCCATAGTTTTTTAGGTCTTATAATTTCTCCTTCCATATCCAAAAAAATACATAAATTAATTAATTATACTTATTAGCTGGTTATTTCAATGTAAAAGATTGTGTGTTTCAAACATTTACCTTTTGAATATTTAGAGTATGTTAATGCTATTTTTTATTGTTTAGGTAGATACCCGCGACAATGTTTACCTAATTCTATTGTTAGTTTAACATGATTAATTAATCATACTTAGTTGGTTATTCTATTTTTGGAGCAAACTATAATTTGCAACCAATCAATTTGTTTTTTATTTTCATAATTTTTCAAAACTTTTGCATATCTTGAGAAGATTGAATTCGATTTATCAAAAATCAATCAAGTACTGAATTCAAGGAAAAGAGGATAAGCGTCAGAACCGGTGTGTGTGTGGGAGTAAGGGGTTATAAATCATGATTATTGGATTAGGACTGTGTGTTCTTCCCGTTGCAACGCACGAGCATGTTACTAGTATAGTATTATGAACACAAAAAACAGGAAATGATACAAAACATACCATGATATGTTTGACGATGTTGGTCTTACTTAAACGGTGCACAAATGGCATTCCCAAGTAGTGCACACTTGATGGTATGACCGTTGAGACAACTTGCTCCAACTAGCAATGCCAGACACCACGACCGATGGGACGATGTGCTGCAAGTGATGGGGTGACATGCTGCTAGGGCCGGTTGGATGGTGCTCAGTCCTACATGAATCTCCGTGCAAAAGATCCAATGGCTATACGATCAACTGAGACTTCGTTCGACTGAGTTTTAGCAATATCG